AGGAGCGCAACACTGATCATGTCAGACAGGCTGGGGAGGCTGCATAAGATCATCATCACCCAGCAGTGGAGTGAATCGCCGCGGTGGCACTTTCACACAACCTCTGACCTCCGGGGCCAACCTCCCAGGTCACGATCAAGGTCAGGGGTCAGCCGGAGCCTCGGCCTCCGCTTCCTCCTTCATCTCTTTTTTTTTTATTTTTTTTTTTTTTGCTCTCTCTCTCTCTCTCTCCTCTCTCTCTCTCTCATCCTCATCCTCAATCTGTTTCTCTATTTCTCAGCTCCTCTTTTCGTCAGCCGGGACCAATTGAGACATCCTCTCCCCTGGGAGCGCAAAACAGAAAGCAAGAGAAAATCAATAAGGAAGATGAGAGAAGACCTGGAGGTCCCATCAAATGCCGAATGCTTCTTTCTGCGCCGCTGTTCTCAAAGCCACAAAAATACGTGCCGACACAGACTGCTCTCGCTCTTAAAATGTAGACAGACAGCAGGGAACACAGGTGTGGTGAACTATCGCTTCGCTCTGACCCCGAGTTACCAATTCACCCCAAACTCTTCACTTTAAACACTTTCTGCATGAGTGTACTTAGCCACTCATGTTTAACTCGTTTTTGTTTAATTATAGACTAGCCATCATTGAAAAAGATATGTGTTAAAATGTAATTAAATGTACAGTTTGCTTCATATTTCACACTTTAGCTTTATTTATAATGGCTTTGGTTCTGATTCCTACGAGGGGCAGCGGCCTCTGATCAAATAAGGCATGTTATGATTCACATGAGTCACAAAAATGCCTTTTCCTGACAGAAGACAACGAGTTACACATATTTAGGAAATTGCATTAAATCAGCAGTGGTGAAAGCAGGAACCTGACACATGGTGGCAGTGGACCAAAATGTAGGGAAACGGCAAAGGGACGAAGTCACGAGCAACAGTTGAAAACTCAACTAAGTGTCTGTCAATTCCAAGCTGGAGTCCGTGGAGTAAAAGCAAAGTCAGCCGAGGATAGAAGTTGCCCGCATGCAGGCAGTCGGAGCTCGTCTGGAGAGACTGACCTGCCTAAGCAAGTCGTGGAGGAACAGGAAGTCGATTACAACAATAAAAGAAGACTCGATGGGAAACTGTACAATTTTAAACGACGTAGCGCCGTGCACTCCCAATGAGAAACAGTTTATTGCGATATTTTTGAAGGAGGCTCGATCAATAGGGCTTTCAACTGTTTTATTGTCATTGGACTTTGACGGCTACTTCTTGTCCTCCACACCGAGGAAAGTGGAGGACAAGTTCATGTCATGTTTGTGTTTCCATCTTAGACTTTGGTTGTGTTTCTCTTTTGTCTTGTTGAGTGATGTGGCTGGACTGGGCGTGATTATTTATGGTCGTTTGCTGTTGGCGTATTGGTTTGCATCACTTACCTCTACTTCAATGTTTCCACCAGCCTGCCTGGAACGGGTGAATGGTGGATAGACAAATCGTATTTTCTATAAATACATCAACTCCAAGTCTTTGTATCAAACACAAAGTCATTATGCGGTTAATATACCTGAATGGAAGTGGCTGTATAGTCAAACAGAACGCTAAAAGGCACGGCGTTTCTCAAATGAACAGAAAAGAGGAAGCTATGTTGTTACAATATCACTTTGAAAAAATGTCAAGCAGTGTAAATTATGCAGAGCAGTTAAAATTTTTTTTTTTAAAAAGCAAAAGCTCCAGTACCAGATCAGTCTCTGAGGAGTTTTCCTTCTCGTTTATTTGTTAAATCCCTCAGCCTTACCTATAAATCATTCATTCATCCAAGCTACAAAGGACAACCCATCATTGTTGCACAACGCATGATAGGCTCTGTAACAAAGAGCATATTATTTCGCTTTCGACTTTGAGGAGATTTGTTACTTTCCTGGTATTTTTAGCAGCATGCTGTCACGGTCAGGTCAGAAAAGTGTGAAGCAGAAACGATGAAAGTCCTGCAGAAGGCCTTGAGGTCTGTTGATCAGTGTTTTACAGGGCCGCAGGAAAATCTGGATGACTGGAGGGAAACTGTAAGGGATTTGAGTTGGCTTAAAACTTTTGCACAGGACAGTAATTTGATCTCTCTTCCTCTCTCTCTCTCTCTCTTTCTCTCTGGTGTGTGTGTGTGTGTGTGTGTGTGTGTGTGTGTGTGGGTGTGTGTGTGTCACCAAATCAACTTTCAGCCACGTCTTCTGTGTGCACTCGCAGCAACGCGTACCGGACTGATAAAATCCCTTTTCTTCAGAACTGTTTGCTTTATCTGATGAGAAGCGCACATGTGTTTACAATATTAAGGCCTCGTCCTGAAGCTGATTCATGGCGCTGCTCGGCGCAACGCAACCTGAGGCATGACATTAAATGATCGTCCGAAAATAGAATCGTTCAGATGAAAAGGGAGGATAAATAATGAATGCAGAAGGAATACACAGCCTCTTATGGGGATAACTAGTCACACGCACAGAAAAAAAAAAAAAGAGAGAGAGTGAGGAAAAGTGAATGGATGTAACAGGAAGGAGGAGGACCCAGTGGAGACACACACACACACGCTTCTTACTTCATCTCCTCCCTCTCCTCCTTGTCTGCCTGTTTTTTGTTTTTTTTTCCACTGCTCTCAGTCAGACTTCATGACATCCTCCGTGTCTGTGGGGAGGAATAATGTTGTCCCAGCAATGGCGTGTTTTTCCTGCCCACCAGACACAACAGACAAACCCTGCTGCTGCTGCTGCTGCTGCCTCATCATTTTTTCATGACTTCTGATCAGAATACCTTCAAACGAATGCAGCGAACCCTGAACGCACCACGGAGAGCCTGGTCGCTGCTTCCAACCTCTTTTTATTTTTATTTTTTTAAGAAAAATAAAAATAATTTTATTGTTGCATTTGTTTATATTAGATCATCACATTAATTCTGTGACTCATTTATTAACATGTGTGGTTGGAGGGTGTGCTGCGGCGCTGGCTGGGTCATATCTAATACATAAAACATTGAAGACAAACCTTCTCGAAGCTCCGCTGCTGGATGCCTCGTTTCCTGCTGAGATGTTTATTCATTTACTAAATTAAATATGCACGCTTGCAGAAAAATCTAAATACCACCACGCAGAGGAAGAGAGAGAGGGAGGAAGAAGATGAAGAAGAAGAAAAACTCTGAAAACGATTTATGCTTGCGTAGGGAGACACCTAGTGGCGGCTTTCCATAATAGACTTTGTTTAAAGCTCAGAGCTGCAGGAGATCATTTGGGGCTCCATGTCCAGGTCAATACATCACCTGATTTCACTTTTATAAAGCTTTCCAAACGAGGAATTAAACTATTTAAACAAACAGCACTTTAACAAAGGTCTCATTTGAACTATTTTCTCATATTTAATTTGGAAGTGATCAAATTCTTCCTCTCTTTGTGAATTTCAAGTTTAAGCTATTTTTGAGTTTGGGAGTCTTTTTTTTTCTTTCTTTCTTTCTTCAACTTTGATGTAGTTTGTTAGCTCCATTAATGAAGTTAAAGAGAGAAAAGGTGCATAAAAGTGACACGCAGAGGCATCTGCTGGATCTATTTCCAGAACATAAAGTTGTCTGAGGTGTGTCTCCAGCAGCTTCAGACATCCGGATCCTGAAAAATCTTCCCCCTGCCTCTTTGGATCGGGCCCTTACTTTGACTTTCCACTCAGCTCGCATTCCTCTGTGTTTTGGTTTCTGTTGTCATCTATTCTGCTCTTTCCTCGGTTTATTATTGTTTCCAAGGTGTTGCCTGATTAGTTATTCCCTCCGTGTTTAGTTGGTTTATGCTTGTGTTCAATTTCTCAACTATTTGCAGTTATTTCTTTAAGATTATTGCCAGTTTTTGTGTTTTGCTTTCCAGCTGGCCTGTGTGATTCTCTTTGTCACGTTTAACCAGACTCTTGTGTCACTTTTCTGTCTTAGTGACACAAGACTCTTCTGTCTATTTTTCAGAGCTGCATTCTCCTGTTCTATGTCCTGTCATCCTCATTTCATGTTTTCTAAGTTGTCCCCTTTTTATTATTATTACTATTAAAGTTTCAACATTCATTTATAGACAGCTGCCAGAGAATTTGAAACAAATTCTGCAGAGTTAAATCAAAACTATGCCGAGTCTATTAATGCCAATTCAGAATTGGCATTAATTTAACTCTTGCAGAGTTATTTCGACAATAGTTTGAGTAGCAGTAACTATTTCAAGTGTTAAAATTACTCAGTTTCTCGTTGAAATAACTCTGAAGGAGTTAAATTAACACCGCTTTTGCTAAGGACCGAGCAGACTGCACCGTTTTGATTCAAACTCTGCAAAATTTGCTGCGTGCACCCCGACCACACACAGGTTTGCTTTGAGGATTCAAGTCCATCCGTCTTCTTCGTGTTGGTTTTCGTGTTTGTCCACTACTTATGTTGCATGAAGGTGAACTTTCTTCTGGAGGCAACCGCACTGATTTTATTTAGGGGCATCAGAGAAATGAGTGCTCACCGCAGCTTCTACTCTTTGTGTTGCTTTGTTGCATTTAAGCGTCCGACTGTAATGTGCCGTGAAGGGTGAAAGTTCAGTCGCCATGAAGACTTGAGTCGGTTTTACCGGCACGTCACGTTCTGACGAGGCTGTCAGGCAAAACCACCTTTAAAAAATAACAATTTCAGCAGCCTTCTGGGTCGAGGTGTTTGTCCAACCCGCCCACAGTCCCTCCAACAGTAAACAGGCCTCACAAGAGGTCCATTCACCAGCAACTGGCACTCTGAGCGACTCTGCCACGTCCAGGCGTCGGTGTGTGCAGACAGTCCTGGGGTGAACCCTTCTCATTTCATTTCAAGTGATCCACAAGCGGGATTCGTCAGTCAGGAAGTAACTGGAGCGACATGACCCGGGTTTGTTCTGCAGTGCTCTTATCTCAGCTCAGCCCCTGAACGACAGGCCAAAGGTGTCCAGTTCAAGGTGTGCCAGGCGGCGCACTGTAGACTTTAACTTTCCCATAGGCATATTATCCCGTATGAGGGGGGAGATCTGCCGGGTGAGGGGAGTCCATGGGAGTTCGGGCTGCTTGGAGACAAGCGGGCCCCTCTCCCAGAACATCCCCGCGGACAGGTGTACGGACATTATCTTTGGATGTTGTCCGGAAAAGACCCCAGCTGTGGGTGTGCGCGGCCGCCGCGGGCTTCCTGCTCCTCCTGGCGGCCTGTGCGCGGCACCTGCCGGAGCAGGCCGCCCCACAGCAGCAGCAGCAGCAGCCGCCGCCCGAGGTGACCCTCCTGATCTGGACGCATCCCTTCGGGGAGTACCGCGAACTTCCGGACTGCATGCAGCTTTATCAGATCCGCGGGTGCAAGCTGACGGACGACCCGGGGGCGTACCCGCAGGCCGACGCCGTGATCGTCCACCATCGGGAGATCTCCAACGGTGACGCGCACCTCCCACCGGAGCCTCGGCCCGACGCGCAGAAATGGATATGGATGAACTACGAGTCCCCCACGCACACGTCCGATCTGTGGCTCATGGAGGGCGTCTTCAACCTCACCCTGACCTACCGGACGGACTCGGACATTTTCCTGCCTTACGGATATCTGGTCCCCCGGGCGCGCGCAGCGGACGAGGCTCCTGATGGTGGCCAGCTCTCGCTCTCGAGACGCCCGCGTAAGCGCTTCGTGGCCTGGGTGATCAGCAACTGGTCGGCGACCCACGCCCGAGTGGTCTTCTACCGGGAGCTCTGCGAGTTCGTCCGAGTGGACGTGTTCGGGCGCGCCGGGCGGCCGCTGCAGGGCGGCGGCGACGGCGTGGTGCGGCTGCTGCGGCGCTACATGTTCTACCTGGCGCTGGAGAACTCGCAGCACACCGACTACATCACGGAGAAGCTGTGGAACGCGGTGCTGGCCGGGGCGGTTCCGGTGGTTCTGGGGCCGTCCAGGCAGAACTACGAGCGCTTCCTGCCGGCGGAGGCGTTCATCCACGTGGAGGACTTCCCCACGGTGAAGGAGCTGGCCCGGTACCTGCTGGCTCTCAGGAGCGACCCGGACCGGCTGAGGCGGCGGCACCTGGACTGGAGGAGGAGCTACAGCCTGAGGCAGCCGAGGTTCTGGATAGAGCACTACTGCACGGCCTGCGGGGCGGTGAGGAGGACCAGAGGACGGACTCAGACGGTGACAGACCTGACGAGGTGGTTTCACTCATAAGAACCGCGACTCACTTTTAACTTATAGGCTATATGAGAACGTTCTGGGTTTTGTTTCTGATCATTTTTTTCTCCCCCACTCATTTTCTCATCAGTGTTGATTTCTTTTTCTTTTTTTTTTTAAAGTGGACTCACCCTTATTTGACTGTTTGATTCCATTAAGTGAGCAATTATAAAACAAGCTGCAAACATTACATTTGATCAAATACACATCAAATATGTTTATCAATGCTCCAATCAAAAGCAACTATGACTGATAGGAACTCTGCGTTTCGACATCTTTGCAGTTTTCTGGAAGTTTGTTTCTGGATTTGTGGTGAATGGAAACTAAAAGCTGCTTCTCCGTGTTTGGTTACGTCATAAAGTGACAGAACTGACTGGTATCAGATTCAGTTTTACCAAGTCGAGGTTCCTATCTAAAAAAATAATAGCTGCAACAGATGACGATGCTTCCACCACCTTCAGCATCATGAGAATCATCATGATGATGCTGCTTTGTGCCAAACGCACCACTGTTGATTTAAGCTTTTAATCAGACATTAAATATTTCCTCAACATGATCTATTAAGGATGTAACTCAGCAGGTCTTTTTTTTTTTGTTTGTTTGTTTGTTTTTTGTTTTTTTAAATGGATTATTTAAATTTCACACCTTGTCACAGAATCAATTGCCTTGTCCACCTGGACGCATGTTGTCGCCGTGAGGGCGGCGGATAACTTTGCTCCCAGTAAACGATCTAAAGCTCCAGCAGCTGCTGCAGGCGCTGATGGTCAACAGCAGTAATGATCTCAGGAGGTCAGAACGGCCAGACCCCCCGGATCCCATCTAAATCCCATTCCTGCAGTCGCTCCGAGTTACAGCGGGGGGCCTCAAAGTCACATTCGCTCTCGCTACTTTTTTTTATTTTTTTATTTTTTATCATCGCTCCTTCTCACAGCTCGTCGAGGAGCAAACGACTGAGGAACAAATCGGTCGCACCGATTCTGCTGCTGCGTCAGACCCGAGCGTGTTCCGGGTTGTGTCCGTGGCCGATCGCGTCATCAGTGAGGAAACTGTCCGGTCCAGGACGCAGAAGATCGTGCAGGAAATGTCCATCATGTTCAGGGGCTGCAGCTGTGTTGGCTTTGAGCAGGCGGACTGGGCTGAATGTTTCTGGACGAACATCGCACGCTGTACTGCCCCCTCTGGCCACTTGAGATCACTGCAACCCATCAGAGAGAAGGACCTCAGCAACTTAAAGCAGCTTCAGACTGACTAGAAATTTCTGTTAGATGAGAAAGGGAGAATTTCACACACAGATCTGTGTAGTAAATAAGTGTAAACATGAATAAATTTCATGTACTCATGTCTTTGAGGTCATCCCAATTTTTTTGGGAACATATTCAACAGTAAAAATAAGAAAGTACAAAAGGATGTTCTCTGCGACGGGACAAGTTCAAAATGAAAAAGTTATTGTCCAGGCATTTTCTCTGTGACGTTTGATAGTTAATGTACGACAGCATCGTTCAAAGCCGCGGTCTGTGGGCAGTTTTCAGCCCTTCTGAGCGACTTTTGAGGCCCGCGAATCAGTTTTTCTCAATGTCGCCGTTTCCCAACGAGAGCAAAGGATTTATCAAAGTCTGGACATTGAAGCAGATGGACAATAAAGGAAAAAATGCCATAAACGAAATTCAAAATCTCCAAATATATATATATATATATATATATATATATATAATATATATATATATATATATCATTTTTTTTTTTTTTTTCATTTGGAGATGCTGCATGCTACGGAGGCACAAGTCGTCTTTAAGTACCCGTGTTTTTTCTTGGAGTTTAATTTCACGGTCAAAGCGACTTGTGCTCTACAAAAACAGTCATGAGAGCATCCATCCATTAAATCCGGTTAACCCTTTTGTTGTTGCTGGCAACAGATAAAACAAAACTTCCAGACCAAGGAAATAGGAAGCAACAAATCTCTCCAAATTCTGGAAATTGTCCACCTTTCCTTTGGTAAGGCGAACGCGCAGGACTGAGATATTCATGACAAAAACCCCCAAAAAACATCTACCACTTTGTCTGTTTTATTCAAACGTTACATGTTTATGCACAGCAGGTAAGAATAACAAAAGCCACCCTATACTTATATTTAAATATGCTGAATGCTTGAGAACTCCAAATATTTTTGATCTGTGAACACTCTTCTTTTCTGAAAACAGCCAGAGCGTCAACATGTCCATGTATATTCCACTTTAGGTCACTGAATTCATTTTTATGAACAAGCTCAGGTAGATAAGTTTCAATACATTCTGAACCTGACAGGATAAAAAAAAATACATAGAGACTCAAACAAACACCTGTGTTGATAGTTGGATAATTGTCCCTCAGAAAGTTGTAGCAACAGGACATTTAAGCAAAGAACAGAAACATATAAAATGTCTGGATTTAAATCTGTGTGTAAAGTCCATCAAAAAAAATAATTGAGGCCCGATATCATATACAACACGTTCCCCAGGCGAGCTTAGAGAAATTTCATATGCTGCCTGGTTCCATTAATGACAAACTGAATATCACCTGGATTTAGGTCAATGCAGCGCTCAGCTGTTTTTGTGCAAGCAAACTCTGTCCATGCTTCTTCAGGAGCTGGCCCCCGAGCACGCAGGCTCCCAGCAGGAGGGAGCATTTTTGCAGGAATTTGTCTGTTTGAGTTCAAGCTCTGCAGACGCATCAATCTGCAGGTTTGGAGATGGAGATAAGGCTATAAAAAAGTTAAAGTAAAGAGAATATGGATTAAAATTCAGCATTTCTTCCTCCTCGTTGCTCTCCTGAAGCATTAAACATCAACCTGTGTCCCAGACTGACAGGTCAACAGAGCGCGAGATGAAATACCAAATGGTGATACGTGATATAGGGTCGATCTAAAAGTAGCCATGCCCTGAAGCGTTTCAGTTTTGTTCAAAGTCCAAAATGTTGCTGTAAAAACAGAAAAACCTTACCGAGTATTTTTGTTTTGGGTTCTAGCACAAATATCTTAGTATACTTGAAATAAGACAAAACTGACTCACAAGTAACTTGTCAGCAACACAGGAGCCCTGCTTTGTTTGGTAACAAAATTCAAATAAGGCTTCATGAGAAGCCTCAATTTCCAAAAGCGCTCAACTGTCAAACAGATTCTCCCACCTGAGCTGTCGGTGTGTGCAGCTCCTTCAAAGTTTCCACAGGCTGTGTGTCAAATTAAGCCTGTCAGTTTAGAAGGTGTGTAATGCACCTCCATATCATCTGTTGGGGACCAAAGATGATGACTTAGTTTTATAAATCACTCAGCAGGAATTAGAACAAACTTACAATCCACATTTTTATTTTCTATTAGTTTATCCAGAGGAACTCCTATTACTTTACCTTTTCTTTTGTTTGTATTTTCTAAAACTCATGTGAAGCACTTTGACATGACCTCACCACCTGATTGTGGTAAAGTGAGTGCTTAAGAATGAGCACCACACTTTATTTTAATGTAAAAAAAACGCTAAAAAGCCAAGCATAATTTACATCTTAATTCACAATTTTACACTGTTTCTGCAAGTAGCCATATGTCACAAAAGCCCAATAAATCACTTTTTCAATTCGTGGCTGCAAAGTGACGCGATGTGGAAAAGTTTATATTCAGCGAAAGCAAAAGCAGATTTTACAGGTGTAAGCACCGAGGAACACCGGAAACCGAATTTCACTTGGTTCATTCGGCGTCTCCAACAGAAGCTGGGGCTTGTCCCCAGACACACGCTGGAGCCCCTCCTGTCCCCCAGGCTGCAGACGCAGTAATCCCGTTTGTACAGCGACAGATGCTTCTCTTGAAAACATCCGTTCACTCTGCAGCAGAGAAGAAGAAGAAGAAGTCAGCCTCTTATTCTCCCAGGAGATGAAAGAGAGCAGCTTAATCACTATGAAATCGGACAGATTTGCGCTGGTTTGCAGGGAGACATATTGACTTTCAGCACAGGCTTACTGTTCTTCAAAACGTAAACAAGTTTTCTTTTTCTTTTTTTTTTCCTCCTGCGTCTCCTTTTAAAACATGTTTACGAGCAGGCTTTCATGTTGTGTACATGAAAAAGGCCGCAGAGAGAGAGAGAGAGAGAGAGAGAGAGAGAGAGAGTGTGTGTGTGTGTGTGTGTGTGTGTGTGTGTGTGTGTGTGTGTTTGTGTGTGTGTGTGGAGAAGAAAATGCATATGACCCAACAAAACTCCCCCCCCCTACAACACGCGCGCGCGAACACACACACACACACACACACACACACACACACACACAACCAGACAAATAAACAGTGCATTGTTCCCATGGCAGCGCGGCGCATTAATCTGACGGCTGGTTTCCCTTGGCTGTGTCTCCCTGCCCTGTAGACCTCCGCTCTGTCTCACTGATGGCTCCTGTGATTGCAATCATCCATCTTACTGTCAAAAGCAACAAAAAAAAAAAAAAAATAGGGGGGCAAGAAAGTGTGTGTATTACACTTTTCCTCCCTCGTGTCCGGACAAACACGGCCCCCCCACCGAGAGCAGCGCCGACCAAAACAGACTCGTGTGATTAACAGAGGGAACACGAAGTGGGTGTGCATCTTTCTTTCTTCTTCCTTGTTGTGGTTGTTGCTGCCCCTCGTCATGTCGCATGATCAGTCGCCGCAGTGTGCGCCGGGGAACGGTGGACACGTCTGATCTCGCAGCCCATCAAAAGCACCAGAGACTCGCTCCCTTGTGGCCACGCAAGCGGGGGCCCCTCACATCAACACGCCTCTGTTCAGTAGACAGGAAAAACAAGAGTGCGGAGGAGGAGGAGGAAGGGTGGAGGAGGAGCAAGGGTGGAGGAGGAGGAATGAGGGAGGATGAGGGGGAGACAGAAACACAGATGAAAGACTTCATGAAGAGGCCGGAGAGGAGCGTGAAGACGCCTCGGAACCACGCTCACCCACCGCTCTCTGTTGCCCGGAGCTAATTGAGCAGCGAAAGTCAACTCTGATTCTTGTGCAACTTTGTGGTCCTTTCTGCAGAGACCAGGTGCTGGCCTGTGGAGAGAAGAAACCGAGGGAAATGTTTACAGGTCAACCAAGCTGTTGTCATGCTCTTTCTTCTGTAGGATCTCCGGGGGAAAAAAAGTGAGGCCAAGAGGAGGAGGGAGGCATGTTCCTGCTTGTCAGCGGTGCTGCTTGATTGTGAAACTTGTGCTGAGGTTGTCACCATCTGCAATGATGGATTCAGTGTTTTCTTCTTTTTGAAGAAGTGTTTCATTATCTCCAGGCAGAGAATATTTAATGTCAGGTTGTTGAATGCGATAATGCCATTCCCTCATCAGAAACACACACGGAGTGTTGCCTTGATTCTTTTGTGAATGCTTGAGAAATCATTTATTCTCTTGTTGCAAATATTCAGAGGTGCAAATGGCCTGCTGGGACTGAGCCCCGCCTTCAAGGATGAAGCTCCTCCCCCACTCAACTCCTTCAGACTAGCCAGCTGCAATTAGCGGACACCTGGTGAAAGTGACCATCAGCTGCTTGTCAGCGCAATTCAGGTAAAAAAAAAAAAAAAGTCGTTAAAGGTTAATGGAGGAGCCATGTTGTGGTTACTTCAGAAAGAGCAAGGTCTTCTTAAAGAGACAGAGGACCCAATTTCAGGGCATCAAATTAAAAAGTCAAATTTCTTTTGAGTTATATTTAAGATATGCAGCATTTTCATAACAACTGAACGTGACATAGTCACTTGATTGTGCTATAAAATGGCACTTTGTGCTAGAAAAATCCATAATACTACCTCTTTCATGGAATAACAAAAGAAATTAAAAACACAAAAAATCATGATGCATCAACAATAACGCTATCAGGCCTTATTCTCTCAAGACCTGATAGTAATAAGACTAATAGTAACAAGAGGAATAGGAATAAGAAAGTGCATCTTGCACTGATTTTCAGAAAATTAGGTTATTTTAGGGAAAAGAAAAACAACTACAAACAGTCACGCTGAGCAAACATGAAGAATATTCATTTATTATAAGTCTTACAGCAATTTCTGGAAGGCAGCCTCATTCACAAGTAGGAATACATGGATCAAAATCAAAACCACTACAAATTCTTGGCTCGTGTTCGATCCTCATAATGATAATGACAACAAGTTAATGACTTTGCCCAAGGACAAGCCAATCTTCATTGCCTTATAAAATCACTGCAAATCGATTTTCTTTCCAGAACAGGTAACGGAGTCATTTCTGAATCAACTGTTTACCTCTTCCAGGAAAGCAGCTTGACTTGCATCTCTGAAATGTGAGGGTATAACAACCCAGAGCAGTTATTTCTGCCCTTCTGAGTTTCATTTGAACACTTTGAGGTCTATAAACAGCTGATAGTGGCCAATAAAAAGCATGTCTCTTGTTAGAGGGGCTTTGATTTATTTTATTGTTATGTAGTTCTCTTTTTATAGAGCAGTAAAAACTTAAGAGTTACAAATAACTAAAATACCAAACTCCGAATCTGGACTCTGACGGAAACAATCTTCACACTCATCTGTTTATAGTTTGCACGTTTTGGTCTGCTTTCAACGTTGTCGTCATCGACAGATCCGCGGTTCCCACTCCACTCCGGCGAAACGCTTCGTATGTAGCGAGCGGGCGAGAGCCAAATCGATCCTCTCCTCGACTCCTGGCGGAGGAAAACATGTTTCCCTCCCAGAAGGATTCGCCCCCCCCTCACCGTCTGAACTCTGTAGTGGAGGAAGCACAGATCGCTCCAGACGCGGTGGTGGTGGGGGCTTCACTCAGAAAACCTATCTTGATCACTCGTGAGACACATCGCGCAATCAATCACGCCGGTTTAAAAGGAGACCTCAGAGGCAGTTTATTCAACAAGTCAATGTAACCCTGTCAAGTTTGCAGCTCCATCAGCTTCCAGGTGCGTCGAGGGCCGAGTTTTCCTCTGACTTCCAGATGTTTGCTCCGGTTTATGTCACGTTGATGTTCTTGGAAGCCTTTCCTGCCTCCAACAGCATTAACACAATTTATAACACAAAAGAGACGATGGAAAACAAAGATTTTTAGATCTGTACAAAGTTGGGGTTTTTGTTGGACTTTGTTGAAGAATGCAAAGGCCTGCAACCTAAACCCAGGAAAGGAGATACATTTACTTATCTCTCTTTTATCTGATGAAGGAAGGATGCCAGAACCTCCATTGTAATTTATGGCATACTTCTATGTAAGACAGCAGCAGCAGCAGGGTGATAAAGAACAATAAATCATTTGGTGTGGAGGAAATGTTCAGCATCTCTCTTCTACAAAGAACTTTTAATACCAAGACTTATTCATGTCGCAGAAAAACAACTATAAATCTGGCAAGTACAGATACAAAGAACAGCTACGCATGTCCAGTCATAACAAAAAAAATTTAAAAATGCCAATATTCCCGTACAATTATTCACACAAATGCAAAATGATACAATAACGTTAAAGAGGGAGCCGTTTCTGCCTCCAGTTGACGCCTGCGGGCTGACGGAGGGCTCGGCTGGCTTGGCGACGCTTCGTCTTCAGGCTGGAGAAACCCAGCGGGTCTAAAACGCTGCTGAATCCAGATCCCTCAGAGTTCTCTGCACAGAGCGACAGACAGAAAAACCGGTCAGCAAGGCCGCATCCCTCCTCCGCTTCAGAGGGACAGTTCGAGATTCCGCATTCTGAGGCGCAGCAGGTGGACGCGGTGCGAATGTCGAGTCAGACGCAGACAGCCACACACGAACTCACTCTCAGCGAACTGCGATGGAGCGCCCCTGCAAATCTAGCATGCCAGCTTTTACATGAGGTCATCGAAGGTTTTCAACGAGGATTCGGTCTACGACCCCGCCGATGACCCCTATATGTCTTACCGAATAGTTTATTTCCTAAAACAACCGTAAGGTGTAGTAAAAACAAACCTCCAGTTCTTATAGCAGACAAGTCCAAGAAAAACAAAAAAGGTGTTCAGGTTTGTTAGCTAGAAGTGTATCGTACAGGCAATTCTTTCTAAGAACTTAGAGGTGATTTTCCTGATACTTGCCAGGTACTTTACCCCCAACTGGAAATCTGGTAGGTTCTTGGACAGCAACCTGTAAGTTGCATCAAAGCTCAATAAAAGTACTTGGTGTATCTCTAAAAGTAACCACTATAGCTACTGTAAAGTAGTAGAGAAGTTCAAAGAAAGAACCCGGAAAGCTCAGTGTCGAGTATTGAGAAAGTAACCATTAAAGTAATTACAGTACTAACTAGGAAGATAATCTTAGGTTGGATCTGAGTAAAACCAGTAAGATCCATTAAGATTCCTGAATCGACCCAGTAAGTTCCTGAAAGTAGCCTCCAAACATTACTGAAGTATCCTTGAGGTTGTGGTGAAGTATGGCTTCTCCTCACCGTGAATCCCAATCATGTGCTCCAGGATCAGAACCCGCTCGGCCAGGATCTTCAGGGCCTCTCGGAGCTGCTGCACGGCTTCGCCCTGAACAACACCACCCTCTTTAATAGGATCCGTTTTCAGAAAAATAAAAGAATCCAATCTGCAACGCCTCTTACCTCATTCAAGCTCACTCCTGGTTCTCCTTTTGGGCCTGGCGCTCCCTGAGAGGGGAAAGAAACGCGGGTCGTCACCTTCAGGATGTTCGGATGTGTGAGGTTTACGCATCACATTGAATAAACTTACAAGTTGGCCCTGCTCTCCTTTGGAACCTGGCGCCCCCTAGAGGAGGAAAGATATGAGTTACCAATATTTCACCACTTCACCAACCTCGGATCACACACTCATTGGAAAGAGATCAGGTTTAGAGACGGAGGGCCCACTGGAGACCCGACTACAGATCAAACATGGCGGCCCAGATTAGTGCGGCCTGGCCGTGGAGGAGAGGCCAGGATTAGTCACGGGTTGGAGAGAGTCTTTGAAGAAAAGCTTGTCCTCCTTTAATGTGTCCACCGGTGCATGACGGGGTCATTTACAAAACTAAAGAGCGCTCGCGTTATTAATAAGCACCAAATACGTTCAGACAGCCCGTTAATCCAATAATGGGGGTCATTTTTACCCTTTCCCCTGGATCTCCTTTTGGGCCGGGTCTGCCTGGAACACCCTCCCTGCCCTGGATTCACACAAACAAAGACGCGGGCATTAGCAGTGCTGTCCGAGACGACCAATTATGACTAAGTGAGAAAGACTTACGTCCCGTCCTGGGAGACCAGGTGTCCCTGCGGGTCCTCGTTCTCCAGGGGAACCTGCAGTCCCACACACAAACACCATGAATCATTACTGAACGCTGACACCGTTCAGGAAATATGCACAAATCTGGTCAAACTCTTGGTTTTTAATATTCCCATAGAGAGTATTCCTGGTTCAGTCGTCCTTGTTTGACTGTTTCTCTCCACTGTCTCTGCATGCTTAGACTGATGTGTTTTAAAACAGTTGATGTCACACGATCAGCTGCTTCCAGATGTTAATCTGAACCTGGATCAGAACTGATCAGACGGATCGATATAAACCTCTGATGTCGGACAACATTGACATCTGTTGATTGTTTTTGTTTGTTTTGGACATCTGAAATGATGCCTGTTGTTACTGGTAACATTAAAATTAATTCAGCTCAAACTGGACTATTTGGCGCAAACTAAAATAAACGAAATAAACCTCTGGCAATTAAAACTTTTATACATATAATTCATGAACATTCACAGAAAACAATAAACAAAATCCTGCTCAATCCAGTGTCACAACTTCACTGCTCATTTTCTCTGTAAATCCCGCATGTGTGACGCTACTTGTTTGTAATTGCACGCTCAGCCGGCTGCAGGACACGACATGGTGCGCATGCGTAATGCGCCGAGGCCGCCACGTGCAGTTTTCCCTCCAACATGCACACAGGAAGCGGCTCGTGTTCCTACCCGAGGGGCCGACGGGACCAGCGGGACCGGGAGGGCCGACTCTGACCGGAGGCTCAGCCAGGTCCTCCTCTGAGGGGAAACATCAGCGTCAGTCACAACCAGCACGCGAAAACCGTGCTGCGTCAAAATGATTTGAACTGCAATGAAATGATCGTAAACCTGCAGGGAAAATCACACAGAGATAAACGGCTTCTTAAAATAAACGCTGCCGTGACGTAGCAGACGAAAATACCCATGATTCCCCTGTCCCTGGGTCACCGAAGGTCACAAACCGCAAAGGCTGCACAAACAAAACAAAAACAAACGGCAACATGCTGTCATCTAATTATAATTGTTTATTATTGATAATTAAAAAGTTTTTTTTTTTTTTTACACTACTCTCCCTGCAGCTTTAACCCTCTACGGCATGAATTTTTATTTTATGAGGAAAAAAATATTTCACCCTAGTTTTGGGAGCTTGAGGGGGTCTTTATAATATATCAATCAGAAAATGTGCTCCACCCTGCCCCCCCCACCAGATTTTGGTTTGTTGCCTCAGGGCAACAATATGCTATGAGGGTACTAAAACGCCAAGGTTTTCTTTATACTGTAGTATGTATTTAATAAGTGGAATGATGAACAAACAAGCAGTAAATACATTAGAATAAGTTTATTTTCAACAACAACAATTTCAACAAGTTTCCTTTCAACAAACAGCCACAAATGGTTTATCAATTAGTGCATTAGAGATAAGCTGCATGCAGGTGCCTGGTAATCCACACATCCATCCATCCATCCATTTTCTGAGCACCCTTCTCCCTAACGGGGTCGGGAGGTGCTGGTGCCCATCTCCAGCTACGTTCCGGGCAAGAGGCGGGGTCACCTGGACAGTTCACCTGGACAGGTCACCTGGACAGGTCGCCAGTCTGTCACAGGGCAACACAGAGAGACAAACAGGACAAACAACCATGCACACACACACTCACACCTAAGGAGAATTTGGAAAGACCAATTAACCTGACAGTCATGTTTTTGGACTGTGGGAGGAAGCTGGAGTACCCGGAGAGAACCCACGCATGCACAGGGAGAACATGCAAATTCCGTGCAGACAGACCCCGGGCCGGGAATCGAACCCAGGACCTTCTTGCTGCAAGGCAACAGTGCTACCAACTGTGCCACTGTGCAATCCAAACAATGACATGTATACTGCTATACCCATAAATTGTTCCAGTTCTTTTTTAGCGAGGTTCAGGTGTCACACTGAATTGCATATAAATTTGACTGCTCTACAACTACTTCCAGAATGTCTTCAGAAGAAAACATCTTGAAGTATTTGTAGGGGGAAATGATATGATCTTATTTTGGAAGGGGTTGCACAGTGGCACAGTTGGTAGCACTGTTGCCTTGCAGCAAGAAGGTCCTGGGTTCGATTCCTGGCCTGGGGTCTTTCTGATCGGAGTTTGCATGTTCTCCCTGTGTGTGCGTGGGTTCTCTCCGGGTTCTCCTGCTTCCTCCCACAGTCCAAAAACATGACTGTCAGGTTAATTGGTCTTTCCAAATTCAACCTAGGTGTGAGTGTGTGTGTGCATGGTTGTTTGTCTTGTTTGTCTCTGTGTTGCCCTGCGACAGACTGGTGACCTGTCCAGGGTATACCCGCCTCTCACCCGGAACGTAGCTGGAGATGGGCACCAGCACCTCCCGACCCAGATAGGGAGAAGGGTGACCGGATAATGGATGGATGATTTTGGAAGACTGGCCTGCCATTCTGGGTAATCAGTGATATTGGCACTGTGGGGTGTTCTCCAATGGGGTAACAGTGGAACAGCTTCCTGTGATACTTCATCATCTTCATTTTCCTCTTCATCCACAAACTCATTGTCATCAGGCAGGTCATCTGTTTTCAAAAGAAACCAGTAAGCATAAAAGAATAGGTCATATATACCTCTCTTCACTCACTGATGTACAAACGCACATACATGCTCATTCCATACAGTATGCTACTCTACTGACTGAACCCTAATCTCCTAACTCTCCCTCAAACCTGATTTTGGAGTCAACTCTTCCTCACTGTCACTCTCCTCTAGCTCATTGTCAGAAGGAATGAGCCTAACCGCTTGATCATGTTCCTTTCGCCCATAAAATCTTTGTGCATCCATTTCCTGTGAGTAATAGTAGATAGTACAGGAAAAAATTGATTATGTTGATAACTACACATTCCTACACATCTCCATCCATGAGCATGTTATAGTTCACACAAAAGTGGTCTAACTGCACAATGTTGCCCTGAGGCAACGAATGAAAAACTGCCATTTTAGTAAAAAATGAAGACTAAAGGTGTCTTTACTCAATGAAATATGCTTTTTCACTTATTCATGCACATCGCACATATTATTTATACAAAATTATTCAAATTTAAACATGTAAAAAAGTGAAATTTATCTTACCTTCTGCTAGCGGTGTATTCAAGTCAGCTGGGGTCCAAAAAAAGGATTGTTTCACCCCAAGACAAAGGTCAAAGCCACGCCCAGCTCAAATTTCATTGGTCACAGACATATCATCAGACTTTTAATGTGATGTTTTACTTAAAAAAATTTAAAGGGGCGGTGTGTGGGCCAAAATAGTGGTTTGTTGCCTGAGGGCAACACAATGCCATAGAGGGTTAATGAGTACAAACGGCAACGACGGCGCGGAAAAGATTTATTCCAAACCATACAATGTAGAATATAAGTGGCTATAACTTATTCAGCATGATTATTAATACAGTCTGGTCACTAAAGTGCATTATGTGATAAAGTGAACACGTAACGCAAAATGCGTCTATTCTTCAAAGTGCTAATGCATGTGGGAGAGTGATTCAAGATTGAGTTTGATTTATTTCCTGCGTCGAAATGCAGAGATAAAGTTAATTCACGAGAAACATTTGGACACAGCTGCGCCGCAATGTCTTCTTAATAGCAGTTCAGAGGGATTGCTGACTTGTTTTTAATCGCATCATACAGAGAGAAGTGACCCATAAAGAGCAGGCCCTGCAGTCTTAGTTTGGTTTGCGTGATAAATTGGTAATTTATCAGTTTTAATGCAGAATCTGGCTAAAGAATCCGTCTCCACTCATATGAATCTCTGCACATTTTGTCACTTTGCAACCACATTTCACCCCAACCTTGTCTTTATTTGGATATTTATTGCATGCCACACCCACAGTTTTTTAAGTTTGTTGCGAATTTGGACTCAAGATCAGCGAATGATGAGTGGAGAAGCAGTCTTTGAACTGCAAGTGCAACTTCAGCCAAACTGGCACGACTACATCCAACCTCGTACCCTCAGGCAGAACAGAGCGGTGATGAAAGTGAAACATGCGACTCCTTCTTTCATGGTGAATGCGCCCCACAATGCCAGAAAAGGTGTGGCTATCTGACTGCAAAGACCACAAAACCAACGACTGTAATTTCTGTACTGAACCAACACCCAGTTACAGTGATTAAGTGAAACAGAACACAATAAAGGGTAAATTTAGAGCAGCAATCCGCAAAGCAGAGTGGTAGCTATCTATCAGTTCCCCGGCACTTTGTTTTGCAAATAATTGGTCCTGGAAGTCTGTGATTCGCAGCTGCAGTGTCGGCTGTCGGTCTTTGGCAAATATCCTCATCAGTTTTGTAGATCTGGGCAGAAATTTAATTTAATCGTTCTTTTGGAAAACAAGCTCAGTCAGCGTGAATTAACTCTGTATGCACAAACACATTCAAGTCTTATCACAGATTCTTGAATGGATGTAGACGTGGACTTTGACTGGACCCTCAGCGTTTCTTCCAGGACAAAATAGTATTTATCTCCATTAACTCTGAGCAGCTTGCTTGTTTTCCCATGATATGGTGCTGCCACCACCATGATGCCCTGGTGAGTTTCTGCTGCACATGGTGTTTTGATGATGGTCCTGACTCATTCATCCTGTTGTTGCGTCTGCTTCATGATTTGCATCAACATGCAGGAAACAAACACGACTTCTTCTGGCTTTCTTGTAACAGCAGTGACTCTCTGGATTCGTCATGAGGTTGTTTTAGAAATCATCACGTAATGAACCAAGTCATTTTTTGTTGGTTTTTTTCTTTCTAAAACATCTTTTGGAAAGTAAAAGGTGGTGAGTTCCTTTCTTTCTTTCTTTTTTTAAATCAAAATCACCATTTTGAGGGATCATAAATTCACGCCACACTTTTCAAATGTTTCCACGTGAAACATGCTAAAAACCATGTTTGACTTTCCTTCCACTTCCTGATTGTGTGCTATTTTGAGCTGGCCAATCACATTTAAGTCAGTGGTTTTATCATGACAGAATGTGGGAATGCTCAAGTCGGGGATAATTACTTTCAGGGCAGCACACACACACACACACACACACACACACACACACACACACACACACACACACACACACACACACACACACACACACACACACACACACACACACACACACACACACACACACACAACCATCCACTCCAACTGCAGAGAGACCAGTAAACCTAATAGTCATGTTTACCACTGGAGGAAGCTGGAATCCCTGGAAAGAATCCACACATAACACGCAAACTTCATGCAGAAAACACATCGGGCTGGGACCGTGTTGCTGCAAAGGAGCGGCGATACCAACAGAACCAGCCTGAGGCTCAGGTACAAAAATTTAAAACAAACTTGAGAACAGACACACGTTTCTGCAAAACCTTTAGTGTGCAGTGAGAACTGAACCTTCACCCAAAACCGAAATTTATATTTTCTTTTAAAAAAATAAAAACATTTTCAGTAAAGTCTGTTCCAGCCCTGAAATATTTTTTTTTATCATGACGGCAAGAAAACAATAGATGTGGCAGATAAAGGTCAGCAAAATATTGACATGCATCAGATGTGGGATTTGTAAAAAATAGGCAGATAACATTGAATGCCTGTCAACATAAAGGTAAAGATAATTTTTTTAATATAACACATTTTCTGCAACGAGGCAGTTCAAAGTGCTTTAGTGTGCATCAGCGTTTCCTCCAGAAAACCTGAACCCATCACACACATTAAAGCTCACTGTGTTTTTGTGCTGAAAAATGATAAAAGTTAAAAAAGATTCAGAGGGGAACCAGCGAGCATCATAATTTAAGACAGGAGGGGCGCAACTGGTGCTGTGTATTTAAAAAAAATTATTTAAATTAAATAAACCATGCTGAGCCTGGTGGTTGGGGGGCAACCGCCAGGCTTATAATGTGCTGAGGGAAATCCTGTGCACATATAAATACGTAAAACACATATTCTTAGCTTGCATTTAAAGTTTTCCTCTAAGATGAATGTCGCTGTGGATTTAAGTTTGGCTGGCCGATTCGAACGACGTCTCGTTTCACAGTGCAGGGACATGCGATCAAACGTTTGACAGAACACACCGGACCTAGAAGTCCCGTCTTGGATCCTTCAAAGCCCATTAGTGGGAATAGATTCAGTCTGAAACCACCTCACACTTCCTCACCACTTGAGCATATGCTCAGTGTCAGCCTCTCTCCCCCATGTTGAGGCAGCCCAGTTACATTATGGCTGCAGTCCACAGAAAAAAAAATAAATAAAAAAATGAAAGAAAAAGGGTCTAGAAGGAGCAGATTTCCCTCTGGAACTAATTTTCTAATGCTACAGTCTCCTCCAGTCTGGCCGCCTCCCAGAGAAACTCCACATGAGTGGCAGAACATCTCCTCCCATGTTCAAAGCCAGGCCTGCTCTTGGCTCTGAGCCGTGGTCAGTCCCCCAACCACCCCCCCCAACCCACTCCAAACGCAGATTGTTGTGCTGACAGCTAACAAATTAGACCTGATTTACAGCCAGTTCCCCCCCACCCCCCCTCCAGTCCTCTGCCTTCACTTACACGGTCCCACAGACCCAAATCTTCATAGCTGCAGACCCGCAGACACGGTCCCGGGCTCAGAGAGGCAGGCGCAACCAAAAGAGCCTAATCAGAGCCAGCAGGCCTCCAGAGGTAATGATCATTACACAGACTCCTGCTGCCTCCCTGTGGCAACACTCTAGTACTGGATGTTTAGAAAAATGATGCGTTCAAGATTTGTGTTTTTTTTTCTTTTTCTTTTTAGATCAAAAGGAAGATTTACTTCGACGTGACAGACGGCGTCAAAGCCGAGACGCCATGTTAGCGGGGAAAACGAAGCAACAAGCCAGGTTTCTACGAAACACAATGCGGCGACGCGTTCAGTTCTTCATGTTTTCAAAGCAGCCACAGCTAATCTTGTGATTTGTGCTTCGGCTTCACTGGTCGGTGGCTGTGCTCATTAAAGCCCCAGTGTGTCGAGGCCGAGCAGGCAACAACAGCAACGACACACACAAACAATAAAACGACAGCAACTCGCAAAATGATGGAGGCTCCTTTCAGATTCTCACATTCTGTCACGCTATAAACTTCAATCCATTGTTTTTTATGTGTGTGTGACTGCAGTTTTCTTAAGAGTCTGATTTGGTGATGCCTTGCATTAAGTCCCCTTTACTCCAGTAACACTCAATAAAACTGCTTTTAGACAGGCAGACAGACTTTCTTGCAGATTTTAGACTTAAACGGAGGTAAACAGAGTTCAAGCCAGTGTAATCTAATCTAATTGAGATTAAAGGCCTAGGAGGTTCGTCGGAGAGCATCGGCAAACAAACGGCTTCCTGAAGATGGAGGAGGCAGACAGCAGACAGGTCAGGGAGAAAGTTGTAGAGAAGGCCAAAGTGTGTTTGGCTTTTGAAAACAAAGTCCTGAACTTTGGACGTGTCACGGAAATCACACAGAAAACCTCCCTAAAGTTGCAGCCAGAGCTACAGAAAGTCAAATCCGAGTGTCGGAATGGTCAAGTCAAAGTCCAAACATGAATAAATTCAGTTGAGCATCTGAGGCGAGACCTGGACGCAGACGCTCACCGATGCTCCTCATCGCCTCTGACTGAGTTTTAGGTATTTTGCAAAGACGAATGGGAAACTACTGAAGACATTTCAAGTTGGTGGAGACATTCTGTACCCAGACAACATACAGCTGCCCCCGCAGCAAAAATGTTTTCCAAAGTATTTCTCAGTTTTATTTGTAGAAATTTTTGAAAACCATGTGTGATTCCCTAACAATTACAGCTACCCGCTACTCTGTTTATTATCCTGATAAATTAGACCGTCAAAAAAGGTCACCAAAGGTTTGAATACTTTTGCTTAGGGGAAATAAGTCTCTTCAATAAAAAGAAATGCCCTTTGACAAACGCTTATGTTTCCTGTACCACCTCCAGCACGAGTCCATCCGGACCAGAATTCACGTCCTGCGTGACGAAGCAATTTCTCCCAAATGCGAGCATGAGGCACACTGCTGACCGCAAACCGTGAAAAGGTCCTGCTTGTAATTTTGGCGTCGGTTCCTTGTGGCCACCCAACCAGCTGACGATTTTGGCAGCAGCTCCAGGGTCGGCGTTCAGACCCGGCTCAGGCCTGGCGCTCCTCGCTCCTGTCCGTGGTGATCTGAGCGCAACGCGGCCTCCGCCAACAGCAGGTGCTGACTCCAGGAAAATGCAGCGAGGACGGCTTTTGTCAGACCACCTTCAGAGGCGTCCTGGGACTCCTGTACCTGCCCTGGCTTAGCAGTGTGAAAGCAATCTGCCCTGAACGACCACCCACCGGCCAGATCGAGGTTTTACCTGGACATCTTTTGTTTAATGGATTGTGATTTCTCTCAAGAGATCACACTCTGCAATCTGGGTATTTAAAGGGGCAGTGCTGCCTATATTGCAGCACAATCAAGAAACTCTGTTGCCTTCAGTTGTTCTAAAAATGCTGTATATACCTAATATGACTTAAATCATTTTGTTTATTTATTTTGTTTTTATAAGATGCGTCCCTTTCTACAGCTTGAACATAATTCTCGGCCGTGTGTTTGTAGTGCGCCGACACCGAGTTGTGAGTTTTGCTGATCTCATATCCGCCACATATTTAAACTCAGCAGGTTATAAATGTGACAGCCCACTCTGCAGGTTTCTATTAACAGCAGCAGACTGCTGTGATCTCATCCAGGTCGGTTTTTAACGTCAGGTCCAAACGGTCGGATTGAATTAACGCTGTCTGCTTGTGTTTGAATCAGCCAGGGCACGTGTTACATTTGAGCAAGGCTCTCGATCTCTTTGGGTTAAATTTTTAAAACACCTTACCTCGTTGGAAAACGTCTCCCCGGATGGGTAGAGAAAAAGAACCTGACCCAGAAGGACCTGGCGGTCCAGGAAGACCTGGAGGCCCGGGGCGGCCGCTCTCTCCTCTGTCCCCCTTTTCACCTGAGCATAAAAAAATAGTCCAGAGAAACAAAAAGGAAGAAACTCTCCCCAAACACTGAGCAGATAAGAGGATTTATTTTACCGGGTGCTCCTCGGTCCCCGGTTCTACCAGGAGGACCTGCAATCCCCGGTCGTCCAGCCGGCCCAGGAGGTCCAGTTGGTCCTGGGGGCCCTCTGGCTCCTGGCACTGAGGAATGAGGACATATTATTTTTTTAAAAAGTTACATTTGGAATGAAATAAATCCAGAAACCTCACAGACTCTGCTGGATGTCTGAAAGGTGAAAAGTGAACACGTGTTTATTCTGTGAAGCTGAAATTTTCTCACTGTGAAATGTTTTATTTCACTGTTGCAATCTGATCAGAATGAGAAATCTGAAATGAAAATCTTTCTATTGATCTGCAGCCCCTGCGGTCTCAAACTGATATAGGAATAGCAGAAAGTTGGTCACTTTAAGGCAAAAACAACAAACAGCTTCCAGTCCAGAGGCAGCATGGCTGACTCTGTGGGCGAGCAATGCCCCCCAATACCCCCAATACTCCCTAAATACCCCCCAGTACCCCTAATACCCCCCAATGCCCCCAATGCCCACCCATGCCGTTGGGCCTGTACCATTTCCTGCTTTTTCAATGTTTTAATAAAAAATGTTTTCGATGTTCCTAGTCGATCAACCCATTTGGAGTGTAATCTCCGAAGACATTTTTTTTTTTTTTTTAAAGTTTGGAAAAGATTTGATTAGAAATGGTGGCGTTCAATAAATGAATGCTGAAGCTGAACATTTCCAGACACTCCTTAAACATCTCCACTTGTGAGCAAGTTTTTCCAAGTGCTGACACCTGGTGGCAGGTACGGCGGTGGAGTGGCTCGACGCGTGTCCACCTCATTTCCTGTTGACCCGTCTGGTAATCTGACCTCCGGAAGCGATCGGCCTTCCTCCAACAATCTGATCTAGAGTGAGAGCAGAAGTTGGCCTGAATGCAATTTTTTTTACTTTTTATTTTGACCCCCTCTAAGATTTTGATCCTTACCTTTGATTCGACGGCGTTTATTCTGCTGTTCATGTTGCTGAAGCTGGTGCAGTTCATGCATTCTGCAAGAAGACGAGAAGAAAAGGCACACAGACGAGTTTAAATCTCCTCCAGCTGCGTCTCGTCTCTTTCATCCCTGGCAGCATCAGCTGCATGTCATTATGTCACACCGCAAACAAAGCCAACTTACCCAAGAACAATACAGCCAAACCTCAGGAACCTTTAAGTCATGTCGTTATAATATCCGCGCTCATGGACCGATGTGCTGGAGAGTTTGTTTATTTTCTGTCTGTCCCTTCTGCAGTGACGGCACTCAACACGACTTTGTTCTTTTGGGGGGGGAAAAACGCAGCAAAATTGACAGCTGATGATGGAGATGTGAGAATAAAGATGGTTCATCTCGCATCATGGAAAATGTCTCCTTTTAGTTTTAAAGAAAAATTATTCCACATCCAAGAAGACACTTTTTTTTTTGACAACCGTCCAACAATAATCAAACAGCACATCTTGTAAAAAGTTCATTTCAAGGTGTATGTTATTTTCATTCTGTTCATTTTGTGTCAAGCTGTTTTTTTTCCCCCCAGGGTTTCGGTTTCCTTCTCTATCGCTCTCTGGATGAACGTTAGAAAACGTTTGCTATGAAATGCAACACCTAACTTATCAACAGACCGTCTGGCATTCTGGGAAATAAAAGGTGCAGCTTTCAGATATTTACTGGCAACAGACGCCAGTGCAGCCAAATAGCAATACCATCAGATATGTGGCATGAACGACCAAACAGCATTTTGGGTTGGGTTTAAAAAACACAAAAAATGCTAAAAATGTGTGTAAAGTAAGATTATGTTTGCACAAAACCAGCTGAAAAATTGAAAATGGTTTGAAATGCTTTGTGGGATTTTTTTGTTTGTTTTGTTTATGCAAAATTTGTATCTAGACTCTGAGGTATAAATAAAACGCGCAGAGGAAATCGTTAGATTTGTATATTTAGTAGGATTTATTTAGGCGATACTACATCAATCTTTGAGGGGCTGGGTTGACAAGGGCTTGTTCAGTTTCTATAATAGTTTTCATCCTTTAAAACCTGCAAAACGTTTTGTTTATCGTGTCGTGGGAGCCTGCCGCAAACATTTCCTCTCTGTTTTTTTCTGAGTGTTTTCTGGCTGCGGTCACTTCAGTCACTGGATCCAGGTCGACCGCCACTCAGCCGCACATGCACTTTTCTGGCCCTGGAGCCGTTTTTGAGCCGCTAGCTGCAATCTGAAGCACAAAATAGCCCGATTTCCTTGAAATGAGCCAAACATTTCTTAAAAATTTCGCCCTGTCCACGGCTCGTAAGAAGTGTGGAATGTCAGCTGTCAGTTCCACAGATGGGACCCACCCACACTGTGGTCACTGCAGGAGCAAGCAGGAGGCAGAACAACTGGTGCTCATAAATAACTGGAGCAACAACAAAAACGGCCCAAGCAGCTGGGCCTCGGACCGCCTGCGGCGGCTCGGGTCGGTATGACGAGACGCGATCAGCGTCTGCGTCTACGACCACCTGGATACCTGCAGAAGCATCATTTTTCCCCTGAAACGGTTTTGTGTTTTGATGTGACGCAGCCACAAACTTCAGTGTGTTTTGTTGGGATTTAATGTTTCACATCAAATTTTCAGTTGTGAAATTAAGAAAGTAAAGTCATAAAACATAGGGAATAAAGTTACAATCAGAATAAACTTGTAGGACAGAGTCACAACATTACAAGAATAAAATTGAAATGATACGTGAAAAAGTCACACTACTACAACTTTTCTCTTCTCTTGTGCTCTTAACAAAATTTGACGTCCCAATCTGACGCCTGGAAATTGGGCCTCTGTCTCTTTAAGAAACTCTTTCCAAGCATCACAGCAGTAGTCATTAGGAGTGCTAGAAAGAGACGTAGTTCATATGCAAGCGTTTAGGCAGGCCCAAATGGTTGCTGTGGGAGAATAAAGGATTTCTCAGACATGCATGAAAGAATCAAAGTAACAGTTCGGGTTTGACACTGAAACGTGATTAAAAACTTTAAAAAGTCAATGTTATCTAACGCTGACCCTTTAAATTAAGATAATTTTTAGCTTACCTCAAAATTAAAATAAACACTTCAAACCAATAAAAGATTTTTTTTGCATATGGAAACGAACGATTAATAAAAAGCATAACACCTGAAAGTATTTATTTTTTCAAAAACTGCTTTTAATCGGGTGAAAGCGTGATCTCATTCATTGATTCAGGCTGCAGAACTGAACAGACTTTTAGGTTGAGACGTACTGGGAAACGGTACTGGTTCCACTGGCAGATCATTTTACTTATAATAAGACATTTTTTTCCATGTTATAAGAGAAACGATCAGCAAATGGGACAAGAGCATTTTTCACAATATTAAGAAGTTATTTACATAAAACAAGCTCTTATATCTTGCTGAAACGCTACTCTAAGTCAGTTTTGTCTTATTTGCAAGTGCACCAAGACAGGTGCACTTGCAAATAGATTAAAAAAATAAATACTTGGTGATATCTTGTGTTTTTGCAGTTAGACCTGCCTCTGTACCTGCAGCGAAAAGGTCAGAAGGGTCAAAGGACCTTCTGACTCCAGGAGGCCGAACACAAACTCACGCCACACGTTTGGATCTCCATCGTAATCGGCCCCTTCGGGTTCCACTTTCCAACCAAATGCTTTGTGTTCGAGCTTCACATAAAACACATCCGAGTTTCTGTGGCTGTGTTTGGCAAAATGTGAAAAACTCGGAGCGGCGAGAGCGATTTGGCACGGCTCCGTATATTTAGCCCGGAGAGGATGTGGCGTCTCGACGCTTTGTGTCAGCTTGTTTAATCTCATCCCGGAGCGAAGCCACAATCAAACAGTTTGGCCTAAAACACTTTTTTTTTCTTTCGTTCTTTTCTTCTCCAGATTCCTCAAACCAAACACCGGGCGACATCCGATGATGAAATGATCCCCGCGGGATCTGAGAGCTGAGGTTTCTGCTGTGTGTAGCGGGACGCTGAACATGCACACATAATTTGAGGACTCGATAAGATGATATACACGCATCTCCTCCGCCGCAATTCATCACGGGCCCGGAGGAAGCCTCCACCCTCCGACGCGCTCGCTGCAACACGGCATCAATCTGTGACTCACCGTAAAACCTCGTCGGTGATGATGTGCTGACATTTCGTCTGGAGCCAAACTACAAGCGGTGCTGGCTACAAACCCCGTGGTAAACGGTTGGACGTAGGCTTTTATTTCACGTTCCGTATTTCTGCTGTCCAGATTGTGCATTGCTAAAGACTTTGGTTGCTGGCTTTTGTTCTAAACATCACGCGGCTGACATCCGCGGCTTCGAGTTGAAAACGTGTGTTTAAAACACAAATAGCTGCTCTGAGGAACAGCTATGATGCTTTCCTACATTTAGGGAGAAGGGAGGAGGGCAGCGAGCAAATCTGAAACGGTTGAGATCACATCAAATCTCATGAATTTGAAATAGTCAGAGAACAGAGTCGGAAAACTCAAGAGTCGAAGTGCTACGACTTTATTCTGGTGTTATTATGACTTTATTCTTTCAGTGTTTTGATTTTATTCTCGTAATAAATCAACTGCAACCTTATTCTTAGAATATCACTTTATTCTTGTAATACTTTGACGTTGTTCTTGTACAAAGTTATCCTCAAAGTAACGACTTCACTTTCTTAATTTTATGACTTTATGCTTATATTATTCAACTTTATATTCATAATACTATAACTTTATTCTTACGACTTTACTTTTCTAATTTTATAACGTCATTTTTATGTTATTTCAACTTTATTCTCGTAATTTTATGATTATTATTATTTTTTCTTCCTATGGCTGTAATTCTCCGTCATGCATTTTCGATGGTGCGAATAAAGAGAAAATCCTTTTTTGTTGAACCTCCAAGAAGCACTGAAGTTCACAAATACTTGTTGCATTAAGCACACGCTTCAGGCAACTTCGATAATTTCTTTCACATATTTACATTCTCTGTCCAAAAAGACTCCGATATTAAATCAAACTAATCTGGTGTCTGGCGAATAGACTTTAAATGTTGCAGGATGGCTGAGCTGCACAAACAAGGCCTCTCGCAATTCCCTCAGGGCTGCCAAGATCGGACACTTTTAGGGAGTTATTTTAAAATTTCCAGAGGTTCTCGGGTTTGTTGGAACTAAAAGTCGAGTGGTGGAGCACAAGGACAGATCCCACTGCAGATGTTTTCTGAGTAACGCAGTGGAAGAGAAGGCCCTGCAGCAGCAGGCATCCGTCTTGATTGGCCTGGATAATATCCATCTGCAGGAAATGCAAATACGTCATTATTTTCCACAATTTTGAGATTTTGATCTGCGGCGGAGATTATGAAAGAGTAAGTTTGGTTTGTTAAACGCCAAACCGAGCGCGAGACGGAGAGCGTAGAGGGAGGATCGGGACAGGAAGGATGCCGACGTCCGGCAGAGGAATACGGAAGCTGACAGAGGCCGTCACACCTAAGCATGTTTTCAGACTTTATCTCGTAAATTTTCAAGTTGGGATTGTAATTTAAGGCTCTTACTTGTTCTGTGAGTTGAAGCTAGCTGAAACTGTCCTCAGATATCAGTGCGCACCTGTCTGTGGTGGACCGGCTACTGGCCCGATGATTGGAGACGGTCAGATATAGAGCAAATCAAAAGCACCAAGGATCTCTGACGACAGGCCTATTATCTTTATTTTATATATATATTGATGTTCTCTTTTAATTTCAATGATGTAACTTTTTTTAAACTGTAAAACACCATTTAGTGCTGCAGCATGTAACTTTTATAGAACAATTTTTTTACATATTTGTTGAAACTATCAACAAATATTGAGCTTCTCCGCCTCCTCCTACTGCGAACTAGAAGCCAACAATCAGAGCCAAATGGGAAGTCTTAGCGCTGTCAATCACAATCTTGTCTGGCGCTGCTCAACCTCCTATATCCCTCCCCGCCTTGCTCTCTGCTCCGCTGCAGCCTGGCATGTCCACCGGTGACATCAGAAAAACAGTAAGTAACAGTA